ATGCCCCATTTAGAGGGTGCAAAGGCAAGCCACATAGTGAAAGAAGGTATCTGAAGTGTGTATATCTAACAAACCAATTAGAAGGCAGCTAGACCAATTAAAAATGGGCAAACATGAATGGGCACTGTATAAAATAAAAAATACTAATTTTTTGGGAAACATAAATTAAGGTCCATCTACCAAAATGTCTAAAATAAAAAACAAAATCTGTAAATATCAAGCATTGGTGAGGATGTGGAACCACAGGAACACTCCTACTCATCTGGTAGATGTCAATTTGCACACCCACTTTGGAAACTAATTGGTAGTATCTACTAAAGTTGAACACACAAATATTCTATGATCCAGCAATCCTACACCTGAACCCAACAGAAATGTGTACATGTTTACTGAAAGGCATGTAATATGAGTGTTCATAAAAGTACAATTAATAACAGAAAGCCCCAGGCGCCTGGGTGGCTCAGTCATTAAGCGTCTGCCTTCGGCTCAGGTCATGGTCTCAGGGTCCTGGGATCGAGCCCCACAGCGGGCTCCCTGCTCAGTGGGAAGCCTGCTTCTGCCTCTCCCACTCCCCCTGCTTGTGTTCCCTCTCTCACTGTGTCTCTCTCTGTCAAATAAATAAATAAAATCTTAAAAAAAAATAATGGAAAGCCCCGAGCTGGAAATATTCATATGTTCATAAACAAAAGAATGCATATGAAATTGTAAAATATGTATACAATATATTATACAATAACGGCAAGGAATGGACTACCGGAATCAACTAACATGAAAAATATGGATGAAGCCCACAAACACAATGTTAAACAAAAGAGGCCAGACACAACAGAGTGAGCTGAAATGGTCCACTTATGTAATTCAAAAACAAAGAAAATGACTCTATGGTGAAATAACAAAGTGGTTGCCTGAGGGAGGGCACAGGCAGGAAGTTTCTGAGTTTCGGGTAATGTTCTATGTCTTCCTCTAGGTGGTGTTCTCAGCAATATGCTTGCTTCATGAGAATCAGCCAAGCTGTACATTATTTGTGCCCTTTTATGTCTGTAAAATTCAGAAAGAAGACTTTCAAAAAATTCTTTAAAATTATAAGATTATTTATTTATTTAGAAAGAGAGCATGAGCGAGGTGGGGGGCAGAGGGAAAGGGAGAGAGAATGTCAAACAGACTCTGCGCTGAGTGTAGAACCCAATGCAGGATTTGATTCAAGACCCCGAGATCATGACCTGAGCTGTAACCAAGAGTTGGACACTTAACCGACTGAGCTACCCAGGCGCCCCTCAAAAATTTCTTAAAATTAAGAATGTATATATAAACCTAATAAATGAAGAGTGATACCACGTACCTGGATGGAAAGGCTCAATATCATAAGGATGTTTAATTTCTCCAAGTAATCTTTAATGTGGGGTAATTCTAATTAAAATCCCCCTTTTTGTTGTTACTGGTCAGGTTGATTCTAAAGTTTATCTGGGAGAGTAAATGCATAAGAAAAGCAAGGAAATTTTGAAAAGAATATTTGGGAGGCTTTGCCCTGAAAGATATAAATATGTACTATAATACTGCAATAATTTAAAGTTTAAGTTCTGGAAAAGAAAGAGACAAAGAGATCAGCGCAACAGAAGAAAGTCCAGAAACGGCCTGTGTAAATATGCAAATTGTGTATATAATAAAGGCTCCAATTCAAACTGCTGAGGAAAGGATGGACTCTTCAATAAATGCTTTGAGATAATAAGCTATTGGGTTGGAAAACAAAAACAAAAGCAAATTTAGATTCCTATTTCATACCACACACATTTCCAAATAGATCTTTTTTTCAAAAGGCTGTTTCCATAAAGAAGACAATTTTCATGATTTGGGGAGTAAGTAAAGCCTTTCTCAGCATGATAAAACCCAGAGCTATAAAAAAGAATAACAAATCAGATGACATAAAAATTCAAAAGTTCTGCATTGAATAAATTTTAAAAGACAATAAACAGACCTGGAGAAAATATTTGTAACACATAAAGTGACAAAGTACATATGAAAATCTCCTTTAAATCAATTGGAAAAAGATTACTCACTAGAATATGGGCCCGGGATATGACAGGCAATTATTCATAGAAGAAATACAAATAACAAAAGCATTAATAATAATAAGACATTATAATCAAAAGAAGATGTATTTCATTTATCAGACTGGCAAAAATATAAAAAGGTCCATATCTAGGTATTGGCTAGGATAAGGGGAACTTGCACTAGTTTAGAAAAAAATTTGGAAGGATACATATCACATTGGTTAGTATTTACCTCTGTGAGACTTGTAAGCTTTACAATATGAATAATTATTTTTTAAAGTTATAAAAATAACTACGATTTTGGAAATGTTTATGTAGGAAAAATAAATGTTTTTTATTTGGCCCAGGAATTCCTCTTGTAGAAATTTATGCTAAACATTTAATCATAGTTACATACAAAAATGTATGCTTAAGGATGTTCTTGAAGGCAAATTTATAAAAGTGAAAAATTGGACACAAATTCAATCCAACAAAAGCACTGTAAAATGGATTTTGGTGCTACTATGCAATGTTAAACTATGTAACTATATAATAATCACACTTTCAAAGGCTAAGGATCTTTTACAAATATACAAAACAGTAAATGCAGCTTGACTACAATTTTTGAAGGACATCTATGCTTAAGAATTATAAAACACCAAAATATTAGTTGAATTATTTTTATGGGTAGTAAAATTCCTGTGATTTTTATTTCCTTTTATTATATTTATTAGTATGTGTCAAATTTTTCACAATGAGTATTTTTGCTTTAACACTTTAAAAGCATTATAAATTTTAATAAAGAGAGTGTTCTTTTAAGAAAACAATCGTTCAGTCTGAAAATGTTTGCCATTAATTCAATGTTCGCTTTTAACATAATCTTTTCAGATGGTATATCACCAATGTGAAGTATTTTGTACATGTTAGACATTTTAGTTACTTGATATCTCCTCATAAGATGATGAATAAATTAAACAAACTTTTTTAAAAAAAAGAAAACATTTTCTGAGTTTTAGGCTAAATATTACTCAACTTGAATTCTAATATTCTTCCCTTATTGGGGAAATAAAATTTGACATATTTTATTTATTTATTTAGGCATGTCTTAAATGTGTAACTTGTAAACAAATTTAAAGGTAAGTTCCTTGTTTCTTAAAGTACCAGGAAAACATAAACTAAATTATAGCGATTTATAAAGTAGCCTTAAAATAATATCATACAAGGGGTGCCTAGGTGGCTCAGTCATTAAGCATCTGCCTTTGGTTCAGGTCATGATCCTAGGGTCTTGGGATCAAGCCCCACATCGGGCTCCCTGCTCCGTGGGAAGCCTGCTTCTCCCTCTCCCACTCCCCCTGCTTGTGTTCCCTCTCTCGCTGTGTCTCTGTCAAATAAATGAATAAAATCTTAAAGAATAATAATATTATACGAAAATACAGTTATCACTTCTGTTTGCAATATTCAGGTTTCTGTGAGTAAAGACTGGTGGATTATTCATAGATATGAAAGAAATACATTTGCATTCTGTAAAACAAATGACTATGATAAAGAACATTATATTTTCTGGCGTTTTAATGTTTTTCTTTATTAAAGAATTTTTGTGACACAACAAAGATGTCTGAAGTTAAACAATTATAATCATTTTGAATAACCATTCCTATTCTGCCTAAAGAATATCATCAAATATGCTAAATACAACAAATGGCACATGGGGAATTATATCTGACCAAAAAGATTTTCCTAAAAATGAGGACATCTGGAACCTGACATCTACTTAGCTTGGTATAACTTTGTGCAATTGGCCGCAGAGCTCATAGATAGTGAGTTTGTAGTGGAGACTTCTGTTACATTAATAGGATTTTTGGACCTGGGGCTCCAGGAAGCATATAATTAATTCAGCTGTCTGAAAGTGTCTTCCCTACCCTATGGGCTATGCGTGAGCATACTCATGTAGAAATGCTTCTCCTTCCATGATTTCCCCCCTCCTTAGTGGTTAGAAACAACACCTGGGGCAACCCATCTCGGGTCCCCTCTCTCTTTGGGAGCTTTGTACTATCACTCAATAAACTTTGCTGCTTACCCAAAAAAAGGACAGAAAGAAAGAAGAAAGAAAGAAAAAGAAAGAAAGAAAAGAAAGAAAAGAAAGAAAGAAAAAAGAAAGGAAGAAAGGAAGGAAGGAAGGAAGGAAGGAAGGAAGGAAGGAAGGAAGGAAGGAAGAAAGAAAGAGAAAGAAAGAAAGAAAGAAAGAAAGAAAGAAAAAGAAAGAAAGAAAAAGAAAGAAAGAAAGAAAGAAAGAAAGAAAGAAAGAAAGAAAGAAAGAAAGAAAGAAAGAAAGAAAGAAAGAAAGAAAGAAAAAGAAAGAAAGAAAGAAAGAGAAACAACACCTGATATGGAATAGTCTGCTCAATATGCATTGATTAGATCCTGGGGCCTAATGCACAGTGACCAGGACAATTTTTTTTTTTCAAAATGTGGTTTGTTTTTACAATTGTTTGTTGTGGCTACAAAAATCAGCCAACTTTGCAGGAAACCACTTATTAAATGAAGGAAGACTGGTCATATCCAAGTAGAGACAAAATACTGTGATTAAAGCATGCTCTCATTATGGAGACATCACTGATGCTCATTAGCTGATTTTATTGGATTTTTTCTTTTTCTTTCTTTTTTTTTTTTTTGAGAAAGAGAGTACACACACACACGTGAGGGGAGGGGAGGGGCAGAGGGAGAGGAAGAGAGAGAATCCCAAGCAGGCTCTATGCCCCACATGGAGCCTGATGCTGGGCTCCATCTCAAGACCCTGAGATCATGACCTGAGCTGAAATCATGAGTCAGATGCTTAACCAACTAAGCCACCCAGGCACCCCTACTGGATTTTTTTCTTACATCCTTAAATTTTAGGCTGTACCAACAAATACTGAAAACAATAGAAAATTACACGACGTTAGAGACAAATATTATACACACAATGGAATAAGCCACTGGGACATAAAACTAGAATTTTATTTAGAGCACAAGTACACAGACAAATATGAAGCAAAAACAGTGAGCTGAAAAAGATGAAAACACCTTAGTATGAAAAGCAGTGAGCAGCAAAATAAAAATGAAGCCAATAGGATATTCTTATTAACAAAAAAGTTCTATCATATTAATACAAATATCAACTGGCAAAGGATTAATTAACCAAGAGCACCACCACAGTCACACATCTTAACATATTAACAGAAATTTCCCTCCATTTCAATTCACCTTTCTCTCTTTCACAAATTTTAATTGCAGCAGTTTAAAAAGAGAATTTTAAAATAGGATTAGAGTCAACATCAGGCACACATATGCTTTTTTCACATAAATCAGTTAAAAGCCAAGTGGCCAGAAAATATATAAAAAAATTACAATCTACCAAAAGGCGGGGGGAGTAAATGCATCTCCAAAGAACAGTATCATTTTTCATAAAATTTTTCTAAGTATTAATTGTGGTGGTTATATTTATTTTACAAAAATGCCTGGTGTTAAATTATACTGAATAAACTGACAAATCTACCTTTTAAATCCCAATTAACTTCTAAGTGGTAAAGTAAAAGAAATCTTAAAATTACTCTTAAAATAATCTTTAAAATCTTAAAATAATTCGTAAGATGGAAGACCTTATTTAAGTTGAACATAGCATTCACTCTACTAAACAAAGTTCTTCACTTTAACAGATAAATGAGTCATTTAAGTAATTCTGTTGAATCCAAAATGCTTCCAGTCATTCTCTTGCCAGGTCTCAGGCCTATGGGGTTACAGTTACATTTCCAGATTACAACGAAAAAGGTACAAGCTATTGCTCACAATGGGGCTAATCTGGCAAATCTATGTGTAATTTTAGCAGTGAAAAAAGCTTAAAGTCATGATGGAAACATATTCTATAAATTAGAAACCTAATAAATATATATGCATGATTTAATTAAAAAGTTGCCCTGGGCATAAGTGCCTCAGGACAGACATACAAAATGTACAGAAGACCCAGAGTGGGTAACAAAAATTCCAAGAGCAGGATTCAAATAAACGTGCCCACAGCTATCTAATAGAAACCATTAATCATCAGGATATATCATGCCATAATCTTTGGTGTCCAAAATATTAAAAAAATTCTAAGTATAAAGGCCTTGCCTGAAAACCCCCAGTGCAGGAATCAAGAAATACTTTAGTGTTGCTCTGGAGGCTACTGGACAAGGGCAGAACTTCTTTAAAACATACATAATTGAATTTCCTTTTATTGCTTTATCACCTCCATTGAGGGGTAAATATTTAAAGTATATTCTGGAGAAAGTCTCACAATTAAAATCTGCCTTTCTTTTCCTTTAAGCAAAGAAGTGGCAGGAGCCTTGATGAATTAGTTTTAATATTCTTAGAATTAAATCAGCAATTTCAGCAGCAATGTTTCCAAATACAGCACTGGCTGTCACCATATATCTGCAGTCACACAAAAAGCCTCTATATAATTCAGGAGATTATCCCTTTAAAGAAATCTCATAATTAGAAACCCATTGAACAGATAGAATGAAACCCTGCACTAAGCAAGGAATTTTGGTGTGTTGGTATTAAAATGCTCTTAAGGAAGTAGCCTTCTTTTCTTAGCATTTTATGACAGTTTCACTTCCATTTTAAGAGTATAAACATATAATATTTCCCCCATGTGGAATTTTAACAAAATATAGAATTAATTCACTGAAATAATTTTCTCTCTACTTTCAGAGTGTGTTTGTAATTGCTCAGGCAAGATGGAAATGCTAGGAACCAAACTAAAGACAGGTGGGCATGAAAAAATTCTGATGATCATAAGTCAAATAAATAAATATGTTAAATAAGCCCATGTAAATGCTGAATATAAAAGTTAATACTTGGGAACTCTGAGGTTTCCACAGTCCCTAATAAATAAATTTTAAAAACTAAATATTCTTATCAAATGCATTTCCAACAATAAGCCATGATAACCAACAAAAATAATGTAGGCACCTCATAGTCCTGTTATCATTTACCTGGATAAAAATAACCAGATAAAGGTAATTATGCTGCTACACTGTCATTCTATTGGATTTCTTTGTAACGTGTTCAAGTATCGGAAGAACAAAAAAAGATCTAAAGTGGGGGGAGTACTGGAAAAAGTTAAGAATTCTTGCTTTTTCTTTTTGCAAACTTTCCTTTCAAAGAGTTGGGGAAAGTATGGAAGAAAATCTGACCTGGAATTACACATGTGAAACGAGATTCTGAAGTTGGCACCACTCGACAACCACAATATTTCCTTCTGTAGAGGCCACTAAGTGCTGGCTCAAAATATTAAACAACTAAGTACATATTTTCACAAGTCACACATAACAAATGTTGACTGGCACAGCTCTTAGCACAGTTTTTCAGTTTAACTACAATAAGTGATAGCAGCGATGGTTAACAATTCCATATAAACACCACAAACACAGACATGAAAAAGCACCTAGAACAACATGCAAATCTCAACAGCGATGTCACTGAATATTACACAATGCATAGAAATTGTAATGGTTTTTGGCAAGATGGGTTTTTTTTTTGTAACAAATACTTTATAAAACAAAAGTTCTTCTGTTATAAATGCTATTTAAAAAGTTGTAATATAATGAATTGTAGATATAAAAATTCAGTTAGATAAAGTTAATCTGAGTGGATTAATACTAAAATGGACCTGCTACTTCATCCAGTATAAATAATCAATTATAAATTAATTTCTAGTGGAAGTATACTAAGGTATTTGATTTATAAAATGTAAAAATTACAGAAAGTAAACAGGTATAAAAATCACTTAAATACAGTATGCACAATTACTGTTAGGATTCTATATTGCTGATGTCTTCCTAATTCTACTTACCACAAATAAATAAATTGTGCCAAAGTATTTTCAAAGCTCTCTGAAATGAATGTACTATGGTAAAAATACTCTCTAATTCCAGTGTAATACAAAGAAGAACATCAGAAGTCTAGCAAAATTCAACATTGCATTCAAAAGACAATTCCACTGTACTTTAAAAAAAAATCCTAGAATTTCACCTTTTTCTTCAGCTATAATCTGGTAAATATAATTTGTAAAATAAAAATTTGTGAAAATTTTTTATATTTATGCTTGAATTCCTCTTTAGAAGACCAAGCAGGATAATAGGAGAATTTACAAATACTTTGTATTTCAACATCTTCCTGCTATAGGTCTTCCATTAATTCCCATTTTCTTTTTCCTCCCTATAACTAAATTCACTTCAGAAACATCCTAATTATGTTGATAGAAGTTTGATCTTTTGAAGATAGGTCCCAAACCTTCAAATGATATTTTAATCTTTCCACAGAGTATAAAATGGTATTATAGACTGCATTCAAAACTGGTAATGTAAGTACTATGTAGCTGGATATACAAATGAATACCACACTAAACAAAAAGTTACTTTTCAGTTCATAATATATAACTGGAATTCATATACTTGAAAACTAGTTTTCCCTCTGTAAATGAAAACTAAATATGAATGGGGTAAGCTGAGAGATGTTCGTTTAAAAAAGTGAACAGTTACATTTAGAGATTATTTCATCAATTCCAGAAAGAGAAGTTGCTAAATGTAACAGTATAATATGAAAAGTGAAAATTCACATGCAAAAATAGCCTACTTGGAAACTGGCAGCCTGAATCTACTCCTAGTACAAACTTGACTGAGGGCTTAAAAACTATTACAATTTTGAAAACAAGAAAAGGATACCCTTTCTAACTCAGTGGAAATGTAGGATTGTTTTACCATCCTCCACTCTTATCTGTGGACTAAAAGTCAGGGTGCCTGGGTTCTAGTTCTGACTCTAACAAGGTGTGTTCACCTGGGCACTCATTAATATATCTAGGGCTATTCTCTCTTCTATAAAAGAGGGGTGGGTTAGAGTAGATGTTTCCAATCTTATTTTCCGCTTCCACGTAAAGGATGTATCATAAAGGTAGTAGCTCATTCAGTCGGTTGAGTTTCAAAGTAGGAAGGTAGGGGCATAGGGAACATAAGAGTTCCTGGAGAATCAGTGTCTGAAGATTCCCTTTGTAATCTCTACCTTCTTGCCCTCCTTGCTCCCTACCTGCAAGACATGGTGACTCCTATTCTTCATAGCACTGAAGAGCACTGGGCTAGAGGATCTCCTGGGTCCTTTCCAGGTCATCCTCTATGATTATAATTCAGCAAAGATGATGGTTTACACTAATATTCTGACCTAATTAATATTCTGATCAAATTAGTACTCTGACTTAATACTGAGTGTAATTAAACAAAGTCATGGTTTATATAACAACTCAATTTAAATGTATTAAAATGCTGTCTTTAAAAAATAATTAAAAAAAAAAAGCGATCTTTAATACCAAATCAGGTGTTCCCTTCAGCTTTGGCAGGCCCAAATGATCAATTTACAGATAGGATGAAGCATGAGAAATTCTGATTATCCTTCTTTTCTCTAATTAGAAGTGAAATCAGAGTTGTTGGCAGTTTGCCAATATCATCCCCTTTTCTGTTTTTATATCATTAGAAATACACCAACCACTAAAGGATGATATATGCAGTGTATTTCTGTGTCCCAGTTATATTCAATGGAAGGATCTCTTAAAATCATCCTATCTTCATCACTTTGCCTTATGAAAAGCTATACAATTCATTTCATCTCAGCCAGATCCAAGTGGGGAGAAGCAGTGTTGAATAAGAAAACACAACTGAGGCTGCCTTTGCCAATGGTGTGTTTCCTAATAAGCAACTCTCTCTCTGTACCTGTATATGGTAATATGCCAAGATCTGATATAAAGGAATTCTATTTGAGAAAAAAATCTATTAAACTAATTGATAGAGAACTTAATTCTTTTAGTATTTATAATACTTTTTTTCATAAAGGAACCTTTTAAAAACCAGCTTACTGCAATACATGATCATACACTTCCCTTGACTTCTCCTCTAGGCTTGGAAATTTATTTCCTTTATCACATAGTAGAGTTTTTATTTATAGATATTAAGTATTACAGCTATATTTTGGCCAGAGAAATACAGACCAAAATACTTCTTTCCTATAAAGAAAACGAGTCACAAGAAGCCTGATTAAAATCAGAAGTGTTTGTTTCTAATATATGTTTCTAATATATTGAACTGTGGAGATAGTCAAACTAGAGAAAATCTGAATGGGTTCTGGTCAATCTCTAATTCTGAGAATCATAAGGATAGTATTTTTCCTTAAAAACTTTGTTAAAAACAATCTCTTTCTTTTTCTTTCTTTCTTTCTTTAGTAGGCTCCACGCCCAATGTGGGGCTTGAACTCATGACCCTGAGGATCGAGTCACATGCTCTACCAACTGAGTCCGGCAGGTGCCCCAAAAACAATCTCGATAGATTAAAAAAAAAATTAACAACAAATTCCCATATTAAATATTGTTAATTTGCTGGCACCAAATTTGCAGGGAAGATCAAACTCCCTGGCAAACTGGCAATCAATATTCAGTATCTGGTGGATAGCAATGTTGGCTTTTGGGCTTAAGAGAGATATTCCCTCTGCCTAGAACCTTCCCTTTCCGCATCTGATTCATAAAAACAAATGACAATCACTTTTTAAAATATAATTACTCGTACACAAACTCATCTCCATGACAAAGTTAAGTGTCCTTTAAAAAGTGACGCAAACTTTTGCTAAGCATGGCCGGGGGGAAACAAAGTGCCGAATGTTCCATCTCAAAGTAATTAAAATAATGAGGCCTAAACAATGTTGTACTAACAAACATGCCAGGTGATGACACTGCTCTCAGTCAATTTGGAGACAATGAATACTGATGATTTTATTGCATCAGGGATTTCATTTATAATTTATCACTTCAGAGAGTCTACAGAAGCAGAGCAAATCACTTTGTGAACAAGCAGCTGCAACAGAAAAGGACAGTACTTCATAGTATCTGGATCTGGTTTCAGATCCTGATGCTCTTATGTATTAGCTGTGATATGGGCAACCCATTTGACTCCTCTGGATTTCCTCATCTATGAAGGAGAAATAATCATACTTACCCTCAGGATTACGTGAGAGTTAAGTGAAACAACTTACAGAAGCACTTAGTACTCTGGCACATTGTAAGTACTCAGTAAATGATAGTCATTGATGACAATCTACACCTTCTTATACACGTGTGCACCTATGTGAACACAATGGGTGGTGTAGGAATGGCTTTGCCTTCATACTGATTTTAAAACAGGCTCTTAAGGAAGATTCTCCTCAAAATACTCAAAGCAGTATTATGTGTTCCACAGCAAACCAACATTTTCAATGGCTGAATAATTGACAAACTGCATGAGTACAAAGTTTGGGAAATGATGCAAGATAGTACTGGCAGACTTTTTTGGTGAGCTCTCAAAAATGAAATGAAACTTTTATTACAGTATCTTTTATAAATTCTTTGAGGGCAGGGACTATTTTATATATCTTTGTACCCTTCCCAGTGTCTAGATAATAGTGTTCAAGTATTTGTTGATATGACTGTAAATTCTCATCTCAGTGAAGTCATTGGATTTCATGACAACTAAAAGCTAAGCCATATGACTTAGACAAATTAATGTGACGGAAGTTTCAGCTAACAATGACCTAACTGAAAAGCCAGAGAGACTTGATCTACCTTAAAAAATTTCAGACTATTCTTTTGTGCATCAGGAAGTAATTTAACATAGGTAAAAGTGAATTAACATAGGGAAAATATAAGATAACAAATATTTTAAGTAGCTGGTGTATTACAAATCATATTCAGACCACCCCTACTACCCATGATAAGAAATGGAATTTTAAGAATAAGCTCTGTTGGATAAACAACCTGAATATCTCGAATTTTTTCAGACATTATGGGTTTTTAAAGAAAAATTGCTACCATCCATGGTTTTCAACAGCCACTCACATAGAAGAAAGACTGAATTTTGCAGGTATGTCCCCCAAAAGCTGACAGATGGGTTTGACATTTTTGTTGTGGACAGTGCAAAACTTCCAGAGTCATGTGAGGGGCACGGTCTCTTTCTTAGATGACCTTACACTGACCTAAAAGTGTAAATTTTGCAAATGTGGTTTTATTGTTTTTTTTTATGAACCAGAGGATTGCCTGGGAAGGCAGCACATTCAGTTGTAGTAAACACCTGGTGGACTGCTGAATTTTCACTAAAGCACATATACGATATTTTGGCATGTACCACTGCCACAGTATGAACATAACATTTTTTTAAGCTAAAATAACAAATAATAAAAATGGCATCAGGCAGTAGCATGTCCTCAGTATTGTTTATATAAAAACACAAAATTTAGAGGTAGTTGTAGATAATTTTTTGTAATTTCATTAACCCAAAGAGATACTACAGTTCAACTAAACTTCTACCAAGCCATTCTTCAGAAAAGTTTTCTAAATCTAGATCACAATGTTCCTATTTGGTTTGAGTTATCAAAGCAAAATATAAATAATTAAAAAGTAATTCACATTCTCAATTTAATTGTGTTCTTCTGAATGAAAATGCAATAGGAGAGAGACTTTCATGTTAGTAGTACCTCAATAAACACACAGAGGGATGCAACATCTCCTAGTTCTGCTTTCTCAGTACATACTGACTGCTCTTCTTCCTCATCACAAACTTACTTTGTTGTCAAAAACATATTAAGAATTTTTAAAAGTATGTCAATGCAAAAATAAAATGCACAATTACATTTTAAATGTTTCACAGAAAAAAAATTTTTAAACATGAGAGGTAACCCATTAAAAACAACCTTATTTTTTTAAAAAAGAATTCTTTTACAGTAGGCTGTCCTGTGTACTTACAAACCGGGTATAGAATAAGGAAAGTTTTGTAAAGAGAACTTGGAGAAAGAGGCCCTGTGGTTCAAAATGAACAGAAGAGGGGGCATTAGGGAGCACGGTGTGCCATCATGAAAGATCACTCAAGCATTCCATTTAATCAGATAGCCTTCAGAGAGGGAATGACCCTGTGTCCCCATTTCTGGCTCAAATCACTGGAACCTGACTAGGAGTTGGAAATAAAGAAGATAAACAGAAAAAAACTCTGCAGTCAGATGACAGTACCATTTCCTTAACGATACCCTAACTGATTTGTCTTGATCTCAACATAAAATGGAGATAACTAACCTTTTCAAGGATTGAAAAGATTAAAGATAATATAGAGAGAAATAAATTATACATATTGAAATGTCTAAAGAAATATTTGCCAAAATATTAACAGTGGTTATTTTTTGGCCAGCAGATTCAGGAGAATTTTCTTTATGCTTATCTGAATTTTCTAATTTTCATACAGTTAGTAACTATTGTATAAATGCTGCATGTAATAAGTCACTTGGCACAGTGCTGGCACACACGTTAGCTCAAAAAACGGTGGGTATCATCGTTAATATAAAACAATAAAGCAAGATATCTTCCACCCTTTCTTCTTGTTTCTGGATGCCTCCCTATGGAGGAAAAGTCATGAAGTGAAGTGGATTCCACACAAAGTCCACAGCAGACTTTCTACTCCGGAGCCCAAGGAAAGGTCACAGCTTAGAGGAATGGGTCTTTATATATTTACAACTTAGTGTTGGGAAAAGATGCCTAGCCATGTGGAAAGCTCAGTTAATGTGATGATTTAGCAAAGCAAATCAAAATGAAGTTTGTCCTGGTCTACAATAAATTAATACATAAAATACCACCTACCCTCCTAGCTAATGCGAATTATGAGGTTACCTTGAAGAACAAATACTTCCAATAGAATCCAATAAAGCTATTAAGATTTGGATTTTTTATGTGTTAATGATTATACAGCATAGGAACCTAGCTCAACTTTATTGTCGTCCTAGTGTCTAAACTTACGTTGTTATTGAAGGATCTTAACTAAAAATACACCACAGACTTCAAGACTTGAAAAGAAAGACCTTGGAAAAACCACCACAAAGAGTTGTTTAACCAAAATTATTATTATTATAATTGCAGGGTATCACAGATAAATTTATATTTACTGTAGAAGAAACTCTGCACATTTTCAAGAATGCTTTGAATTCAGCTAAATCTGGTAACAAAATGTTGTTACCCAAAATGAGCGTCAATATTCTTTTGATCTCAACTACAGAGTCAAGTAATCTCCTTGGGAAAAGAGACCGAAGTTTAATGCTTATAAATAAATAAATCAGGGGATTTGGGCTTTGACGAGTAGGACTCTTCTGTTGTCTTGACTAGTGCTTCTGGATTTTTATTAAGACTCTCCCATTCTCTACCTTCTTTTTATGTTTGATATACAATCTAATGCTTGGGAACATTTTCAAAAACTTTGGTAGTTTTGTAAATCTGAAAATCACACTTCATTTTAACTGATTTCTTAGGGGACAAATAATATTCTATCCAGGTTTAAGCGCAACAGTAAAAAGGAGCTATTAACAGTTTTTATCGCCACAATATTGGACTTTGCATATTATTGAAAAATTATGTATCTTCCAAAAAGAATGGCACCTTTATTGCCCCCGAAAGAAAAGATGTTAGCTAAACATCTAGATTTTCAGACATTACAAAAAATGAGGCACAGGAGCTAAAATTCTAATTCCGCTAAAAAAGGTATGTAGATAATTTGTTGAGCTTATATCAACATGTTCATATTCTGGATCTGACTGAATACAGTTCTGTGTAAGCAGCAGGGTTAATAGTCTCCTCCCGATTAATACAAAATTTTAAAAATTAAAAAAATAAAGCCATTTATTAACTAGACTAAAAATGAGAGGTGGGGTGGGAAGGAAAGCAGGAGTTGAGGACACAAGTGTCTAGGATAACTTTCAGTGACTTTTCTGACAGTTCCTTAAAAATGGAATTCCTTCTCTACTTTGTGTTGCCTGAAGACCACTATGGTTTTGTAGAGTCTGTAACAGCAATTACATTTAATCACCCACGAGTACATCTGTGTTAAGCCTATAAATACTATGTTAGCAATACTAAACTATCTCCATTGGTTTATTTGTAAAAAGAAAAATATAGTATATATTTAGATTTTTATAAAGTTAATACTGAGGGTGGAGGAAAGGGAATGAGAAGCAGTGTATGATCACAGTTTCTCTGGACACGGTAACCAAACTGGGCTCTTGCTCAAGCCACCTGGTCAAGCAGTGTCGGAGGAAGAGTCATAGGAGGCAGAGACGATGAAATCGCCACCGTTGGAGCGCCCAGCCACTGACTGGGCGGCCTGCTGGCTCAGACTGTTACAGATAAGCACCAGCTGGTTGCTCTGGGCCTCAGACAAGGTGCTGCAGCTTTGATACACACTGAAGTTGGTTTTCCTGCCGGGGATGTTACCCTTCTCACACATGGTCTTCACCATCTTGGCCAGCTTGTTCTTGCCGAGGGCCTGGCAGTTGTACCAATGCAGAGCTGCCAAGTTCACGACTGGCTTGATGGACAGGTAGAAAGGAGCATCCTCGTAGCGCATGGCAGGAGGCCGCCGCTGGGCATACTCCTTATAGTCCTGTACGGGGCAGGTCTGCGGGGCGTGTTGGGTGGCATACACACGAGAGTCCGTGCCCCCTCTCTTGGTTTTGGCATTCAGGTCACCAGTGTCTTGACCCATCCACTCTAAGTACTCCAGCCCCGTTTCTGTTACCCGGAGCCGGATATCGCCCCACTTCAAGGTAGATCCATGGAAGCCTGTGCAGTGCCCAAAAGCTTTTGTGTTGTTGAGCCAGACAAGGTTGAGAAGACCCTCGGGATTATAGCGGCTTAGTAGTCCCCTTTTCCGCAGAATGAGTTCATCAGCAAAGGTGAGCTTCATGGACTTGTGTGGCTTATTTCCTTTTCCTTTGCATCGGAGTTCAATCTGCTTCTGTTTCAGGGCCTCTTGGGAACGCTTGAATTCCTTATCCCTGGTGATACTGTAGCCATACCTGTGTTCTTTTAGGTACCGTTCAAGTCCACACTGGTAATTGGCCAAGCTGTTGGGTTCATATTCGGACCCATCCTTCTGCCTGGCATCCACAAAGAAAGAGGCCAGGTAGGCATCCAACTCCTTGCAAGGGATGACATAAATCTCTCTTGTTTCAGAAGGATACTTGGAGATGAGGAACTCTCGGAAATTGCGGAGCGCGGTCTGCGTGCTCCGGATGGTTTTCTCATTCTGCTCCCTGCTGAGCTCAGCTGCTCTTTCATCCTGGTCTGCAACAAATTGGGGAGGGGAGGGATAGAGAGGGTGTTGATGAGTTCAGACAATGCACTTTCTACTCTGAAATAAAGTTTCCTCTTATAATGAAAAGGGAAAGAAGGAATCCATTTCACAGAGATCACTCATAAATGTTATTACTTACATACCTGCTGCCTTATAATAGCCAACTTCAGTTTCACAAATGATGTACTAGACAAGAGTATGGCCCATTACAATCAAAATGAGCTTCTCGTGTCACTGACACACAAGTTTTGTGCATGAAGGTTTGTGGTAAGAGTGAGATCAGAGCCAGCCTCTGTTTTAGGAGGAGTGTGAGACAGAAATGTGCTATTCACCCTACTGCAGGCTGCAAGGGCCCCATTAAAGCTGACACATTCATTTTGAATCACTTCATTTGTGAAGCCAGAGGTTTTACTGGTTCCATTTTACTGAACTAAAATATTCAAATTTGTTACTTAGCACATCACTAGAAATCTATATTTAAAAGTTACTAAACAGATCATTTGTAGTAGTTTATTCAACACTCTATGGCAATTTAGGTAAATACAGTTTATAAATATTCTGTATGCAATTGCAGGGCAGTTTGTAATAAGTTATAAAAATATTTAGTATTTTGTAAAGAAATAAGGATAAAACTTCATAGGTATAAAGACAGGACAGTGAAACTTGAATCAGGTTACTATAATCCAGATGTAAGGAAAGGGGTGTATCTCTTGGACAAATCCTTTTATTAGTTTATTATTTACACTCTTCCACCAAGGACTAGGGTTGCCTCTTTCCATTATCGATCACCCACGATTAAGTAATGTTGCTCTAGACTAGCAGTTCTCACACTTTAGTGTACTTGTGAATTACTCAGAATGCTTGATCAATATCAGATTCCTCGGTGGCAGGAATCCATGCTCAGGATGAGGTTTGAGAGAAACTACTCTTTTTTTACTCAGGTTTTTTTTTTTTATATATATTAAATTCAATGATATCATTTAAGTTGTTTCCTTTCAGTAATGTGTAATTTAAATTTGGATTCTTAACATTAACAATAAAAACGTTTTGTCAAAATTCACCACTGTTATGTCAGACAGGGGTGTAACTCAAAAAGAGAAATTCTAAAAATGAAAGTACACAAGAGAAAACTGGGCTATCCGATTGTTGAGAGACAAGCTTCAAGCTCAACTTAAAACAACATAAAAATGTAATTTCTGATTCTAGTATAATGTAAAATAGTCTGTTTATCCTGATTATCTTCTTTAGGAAAATTTTAATTTGTAAGGTTGCTCAGTGGAAGTCTTTGTAATAACCATATATAATAATAAAAATAAAATTTCTAATAAATTGAATTTTATTCATAAAATACACTTTTTGTATTACAGTATGTTATTTTTAAATGACAGCTCTAATGTATATTTGCCAAAATCCTCACAAGTTTATAAAATGAAATCAACTAAAATTCACTAAACTAGCTAATTAGATATTTCTATAGGCACATTTTTGAAAGATCATATTTCTAAAATTCAGTATACAAAAGTATATTTTATGCTTCATTAGACTTAACTTTTGATTATGCCATTTTCTTCCCATTAAAACTGTTTATATATCAACAATAAAGATGTGTATCTTTCCATCAAAAAGATGGAAGGCACACTTTGCATGTAACCTTTTACCAGGCTGGCTTCCTTGGCTGTTTACGTGTAAAGCCAATGGGGCTGACACATCGGTTCATTTTGACTAATTGTTTAAATATCTACCACAGTGGACTTCAAACTCCAAAGACTTTCTAAGAAATAAACATTCATAAGACAACTTCAGGGAAAAAACGTCTAGTTTCTCAAGTTTCACACAGAATCTTTTATAAAACTTATTTGTCTGAGGTGAAGACTGAGTTTGCACATGCTGCCATCCCAAATCTACTGTGATATATACTCTGGGGTGTAAAAGACTTTGAGGAGGCAAACAAAATTTATAAATCGATGATTAAATCCATAGCATGTCTTGTCCTTCTTTGTTCTTTTACATATTCTGATGTAGGTGAAATCTGCCATCAGAAGGAGGGTATTTGGGTGTGAACTGGGGTGAATTTAGGACTTCTGAGGGGGTTATAGGTTAGTGAAGTGGGTTCTTTTCACTAGAAATAGAATATTCTGCAGGACTATCAGAATGTTCAAGAGAGAGGCTTAAAACTATTCAGTTCTTTCAGATTCAGCATGCTTTTGTTCATAAGATGCTTAACTATTATCAAATACATGAAATATTAATTCTACTTACAGTCAATCCTCATCTTCACTTTATAAAATATTCACTATTTCCTACCTCCTTTTTAAAAAAATAAACTGTTGGAAACCTTTGGGTGTCCATTTAAATATCAGTGAATGGTATCATTTTTTTCAAAGTTCTTTCGAGGGGTATGTGAATAAAAGAGTTTAAGTCTGTTGAACTTAGTTACGCCGCCTTAGTCAGTATACTGTAGGAGGAACTGGTGAAGAAGAATGGAAGGGTCTGGAGTCACTCATCTGCAAATTTCCTGGGTAAGGCAGCCAGTTCTTTCACATCTGCATCTCCTCCATTCACATGTGGAGAGCCTGCTAACACTCTTAGAGCTGACCAACACATTAGCACTGCTTCAACAACCCCAGCCCAGTTTTGTTTCAAGCCTTTCTCCTCTTTCTACTCAGTCTCAATCTTAGTTAAGAGCCATTATATCTATAGAAAAATAGAACTAAAAAATCCTTTTCCTAAGAGCCTGGAATGTGCCACAAAAGGAGGTAGAAGAGTAGAGAAACCCTCATTCATTTTGCATGAATAGGTGGAAGTAAATGGCTTCAAATTCAAGTAATCGTTTTTCAGCTAGTTACACAATCAAATAAGACCAGGGAAGACTGATAACAAAATATAAAACTGTTACATTTATCTTGCTTTTATCTCTAGTTTTAGAAAAACTTCTGATCCACCTCCTTTTAAAAACTTTTTATTAGGTATAACAAACATACAATAAAGTAGACCAGTCATTAAATGCATGTAATTAATTTTCACAAACTAAATCCAGTATCCAGATCAAGAAAAAGAACACCACTAGCATCCCCGGAGTCTTTCTGATGGCCCCTTCTTCCAGTTATTCCCTCGCATCAAGAATAACAGCTATCCTGATGAAACATAATACAATTGTCTGGTCTATTATTATTACTAGTATCAATGGAATCTAAGAGGATGGACTCTCTTGTGCTTGGCTTCTTTATTTCAACATTCTGTTTGTGAGTTTCATCCATTTTGTTTTGTAGCTGTAGATAACTTACCCTCATTATTTTGTAACATTCCATTGTGTGACTATATCACAACATATGTTTCCATTCTACCGGGCATTTGGGTAGTTTTCAGTTCGGGGTTATTTCCAATGAAATTGTTATGAACATTCTATGAAATGATCATGTTGGGTGTTTACTTAGAAGTGGAATTATTGGGCCAGAGGAAATCATAGGTTTCAGTAGCTTTAACAGATACTGACAAACAATTTTCCAAAGTGGTTGTACCAATTTACTTTCACAAACAGGAGTACATGAGAGTTCAGTTTGCTCCATATCTTCAGCAACACTAAGTAGTCTTTTTTCCTCTTTTTTTTTTTTTTTTAGCCATTCTGCTGGGTGTGGGGTGGTACTGCACTGTAGTTTTAATTTTCATTTCCCTGATGACTAAAGAAGTCGAACACCTCTTTATATACTTATTGGCCATTTGAATATTCTCTCAGTGAAGTACCTGTTCAAGTCATTTTTCTGTTGGATTGTCTGCCCTTTTCTTACTGTTTGTAGAAGGTTTTAACATATTGTTTGAGTCTTTGTCAGAAATGCATATTGCAAATATCTTCTTCCAATCTGTGGCTTGCCTTTTCACTTTCCTAATGGTGTTTTTAAAAAATAAGAGTTCTTAATCCTAGTATCGCCCAATTATCAATTTTTTTCCTTTATCGGTTCATGCTTTTTGCATCTTGCTTAAGAAATCTTGCTTATCCCAAAGTAATGGAAGATCTATTTCTTCCAAGAGCTTTACAGTTTTACTTTTCACATTTCAATCTGCCATCCACTAGAACATCTACCTGTATGTCCTGAGATAAAAATTATGATTAATTTTTTTTCAGTATGGCCCGCGATCCATTTGATTTTAATAAATTAATAAACTTTCAATAGGCAATACAGCATATAGTACAGTATCTGAAAGTTACAAATGGGTATAGAGTGAAAGTAAGTCACCCTCCCACCCCATCTCCTTGTTGCCACATTTCCCTCTGCATGACAACCAATACTGTCAATTTATGGGGTATAATTTTTTATTTTTCTACGCACATGCACTTACTTTTTGCCTTTCAAAAAGGGGGATGGAATATACTATACATTCTATCCTACACTCTTTTTACCATTACAATGTATTACAGTGTAGCTCCATATCATCATATACATAGTTGCCACTATCTATAGCTGTATTTATAATGGATATACCATAATACATTTGTCTAACCCCTAATTCTTTACTGATAGACATTTGCATTATTTCCATCCTTTTGCTATTACAAACAATGCTGCAGTGAGTATCCTTGCATACATGACATTTCCCATTTATGGGCATGTATAGACACAGAAGTAATTTCCCAAGTGGAATTGCTCTATTGCTGTTGCCCTGTATGTATAAATGTTGTAATAATTATTACTTCCATGATAAGGTATAAGAGTGATGGTTTAATCATACCTTCTTAGACATAATGTATTATCCATCTTTTTAATCTTTGCTTATTTAATTGGTAAAATATATTGCTGTGGTTTTATTTATTTTGCATTTATGATAAATGAGACTTAATATTTTTTTCAAATACTTATTAGCTCCCTATATTTTCTCATTTTCTTTCTGTGAATTCTGGCCTCTGTCCATTTTCTTTCTTTATATTGATTTAGGAGCTACAGATACATTTAGGAATTTTTCATTTATATTTAGTCTTAATATTATGTTCATACTA